GGGGGTATCGCTGACCCCTTCCAGCACTTGTAATGTACGGGCTTGGCAGGGATAGCTCATCAAGACAAAATACAGATATGCATTCATGTAGATTTGTATAGTACAGTCATATCGGCTCACCTGAAATGTATGAGTTCGTTCTATTACACATAGTGCAGGGATGGGAGAAAAGTTAAGGTTGTATACTACGTACGTTTACCTCACACATGATGACTCTTTTTTTGGTCAGATTTTCTCGATTATTTTTATGTCGTATTTAATGTTATCAAATACAATCTGATTAAAATAATATTCTAATATATTGTTATTATTCGGGAAATTTGCAATTCAGTAAGTCTCAAAAGTCGGAATTGTACTATTATTTTAATCATAACAATTTCCATAAATGGAACTGTAAAACAGCAGATTGCATATACCCTTAATTTCACACTTTTCAAGAAGACTTACCAGAAGTATAATATCTTATAATTGAAACAATAGACAAACGTTATCTCTTAATATAAAATGGGCTTGAGCAAGTCTAATATTCTTCAATCATACTGGTGACAGGTCAAAGTCGTGTAGACTTGCTCAAGTCAACACACTCATAGGCAGGAAAATAAAGAGATAATCTTAGAGACTGATAGACAGGCTACTTAGCTGCCGTCGTTATCTAATTAAAGTAAGCCCTTGAAACTGAAACGAACTTGTTGTAGAAATAAGATATTATATTCACACAAAATTCGTTCTGGTTCAAACCAGCCTTAAAATCCGAGTTTTTTTTTTTTTATATATATACGTCATCGTTTTCATTACGTAATCAATAGCTCGACTGAAGAAAAGTTTTATGCCTACATAAAATTATATCTGCACTCTGACGCAGCGCGAGGAAGGCTGTAATCTCGCTAAAACAGATTCACTGGCCTCGGTGTGTACTACGACCTCGTCACCATACATCCCCAAGACATCTATACATTTTGATATAATTCATTATCTGGAGGGTTTCCGAACTGGAGGTTAGTCGAGATACCATTCAGCAACGGCTTGCTATTAATACGAAAGACCAGACAATATTAAAAAGAAACTGAGAAATTTATTGAGTTCAGCCAAGTTGGACCGCGATAAATCATCACCGGATATGATATGTAATCCGGACGATATGTAATTACGGTCAATAATGGCGCCGATTGAACTCTTTGGTTTCATAGCTGTATGTATGATAAATAGGGGTTCGATACAGGGCCAGCTTGTATCCCCAGCATCAGTACCATAAATCAATGCACCAACTCTCTCCCTCATCGTCCGTAAACACTGTCTGATTATTCGTGCCAAGAAATAAGTACATGATCTCAATTTTCATTTGATTTTCGGACATGCTTGTTTGTTTAATTCTAGCTGTCTTACGAATTTCAACCGAGTTTCGACAGTGATAAGATTCTTGCCAAGTATGGCGCAAGGTTGACTGCCGACAGACAGCTATAGCTGACGGATAAATCGGATGTGTGTTAAAAATAAGGAAGCCATGGCTATGATGGATTGGAGAAGTTGAAATAAAATGTTCATGGATGGAGAGACACAAGATGTATCGCATTCAAAATGTGTCCTGACAACTGAATTGACCATTATCGACCTCCACAGGACTGGACTATAATACATACTGGTTTCTGTTGAATAAGCAGATTTATATTTGTTTACGTCGTCAGATTGGAAACATTCAATCAGCAGAGATGCCAAGTTTCTATAAATTGCAAGCGAAGTCTGTATCTGAAGCTATTGGCACTGTCTGCCAAGTATATACAGGCATGGGAGCCAAAGTGACCTTCAACGCTTCATTTACGGAACCATCGATGAGAGAAAATAAAATGTTATTTCAAACAGAGACGTAATACCGCTTCAATTTAGATCACGACCTCATAACATTCTCGACGTCATTTTTTTGAGGAAATTTTTCGATGCGCTAAAATACTAGCATGCAGAAGATATTTTCGGCATTTTCAGTCCCAAAATACCTACGCATATTACATAGCCTAAATTACGCGAGGATTTTACGTGTACTATTGTGACCAGCTAGTCCGAATGTCTTCAGACCGATTAACTTTCTAATTGTCCTGGGACCTATCTATGTGCAAGATACAGACGTATGGCTATTCCAAACCGTCTCTTGTCCTTTGGAAGTCCACATCCATCGCGATTTAAATCAATCACCGATTTGGATAACAGTAACAAATAAAATCGATTTTGCTAACTTAATTATTATCATATCGTGTCATCTGTTGATTGAATGACACCATCATGGGTCACACGTATATCGGCGACGTCCAAATCCCGGTGTCATTATGACCGTAACCCCCCACTAGTACGACAGCGTGTTTACTTGCTCTGGACAGCCTGAGGGGTCAAAGACATTTGGACCCCTATTGTTGACACACAACACGTGCCTGGACATCGTTGGGAATGACGGGCCGTTGCCCGCGGGGCTATTGCCTCTCGCCTTGGTTACTACTATACAGGAGCTGCCGTTCTTGTCAGATATACAGATGCTGATCAAGAGGTTCGGGGTTCCAGATCGGGGCGGCGATGCAGAAATCATCTGCTGTTACTAATAATTATCAAATGACGCTGTACAATCATTAGTAATATCTCGTTAATTCAATAATGGTTGGTGTGACAAAGGGTCATAATGTCACTCTCTGCAGCCTTAGAATAACGTCCTATAGTGAATCATAGCAAAGTGGATTATACAAGACAATGGATTTGTACCGACTGTCCGGTCAACGATGTCCACATGTCCCGTGGACGCCAGAACGTGGGAATATTCCAATCCAATTTCTTTTCCTTATTAACGAGTAACATTTATGAACGCCACGTGGTGTTAATTTCATATATTGATTATAAGGTTAACTAATGCAAAAATGACCTTTTTCTCTCGCTACCATTTCTAATCAAAGGTAATTAGATGTAATTGTCTCAATAAAGCATGCCGTATACTCATATACACACACGAACTGTGAATTATCGACGTTTCATCTAGAATTTGAAACCCCGAACTTTGAGTTTCATTTACATCAGATTTTACAGAACAGCTTCGACTTTCGTAAACACAGCCAAGGAATTATATAACGCCGTCTTTGTTCACGATTGCTGTCGCGTCCAAATACATCATATAACGATTTTAATTATGAAACATGAGCACGTCGGCCAAGCGATTGAAATATTAAATTAAAAAACAAAATTCAGGTGTTGATCGTTACCGGTAATATCATACCCCTTTGTTGCAAAAAGACTGTAACGGCTGTCGTTATTACGTTATTGAGTTACAGACCTCGTGACTACTGTACTTGCGGCTCTGAACACACTTCGGTTTCTTCCGTAAAAGTCGAGAAAATACGAAAAATGCCGAAGTGAATTCCAATTGTACCTGTTGTTAGATACTTGACTTGCTATCTCGCAGTACCACTGATAGATTACTCGTGAGATATTGATACCCGATATGTCTGTACTGCAGGCACGTGCCATACACGTGCTTGTACCCAGACACGTGCTGGAAGTAAATAAAGAAGGATATGCACGTGTTGATGTTTGTTCTTGCCTTCAAGCCATGGATTGGTATACTGTTCTGTAAACGGACCGAAACGTTTACCTGGGTCTGTTCGTTTATGCGGAACAACCGGTTACCGGTACGTCCGTTTGCAGGCCTTGCAGGGCTTTGTCAAAGCTCGCCTGAAAGTTGTTTCCAGTATGTATAAGCATCGATGTCTTCTCATTGTAAACAAACTGTTATGGTGACAGTTATTGTCCCAGTCGACGACCTATCCCATTTGGTATTTAAACAGTGTCAGAACAACTTTCGAAAAGAATTTGTCGTTGGTCACGGAGGAAAAGCGCTTGAATGTGAAATTGCTCAGCAATTCCTTTTTCATGGTGCAAATCCAGGCGAAAATCGATTGGGAAACGTATAGTTCCCATTTCTAATGCATAAAACCTATGTTTAAATGTTATTTCAACACCACAGTGAAGTACTAAACTCATTGAAGTTGAATTTTTATTAGATACGATGCCCTACTCATCTAAATTAAAACAGTTCGTTCGGTTTCGATATGTCGGTTAAGTTGCACCTGGGACTTAGAAGATATTCTTAGAACATATATCATAAAGATTATAAAAGATTGAAATTATCTTCTTTAACTCGATTCAACATTGGAATGTATATCATAAATCATTGGTATGGGTATTTTGGGAGTTAAGCAATATTCTGTTAACCTGCTCCAAGATTTGGTTGAAGCTACTGGTATACACTGTAAATCCTAGTCACACACGGAACCAGAAACTTGCTCTATCACTAAATAACACTGCCATTGTTTTATTTTACTTGTAAAACTGTTTTTAATGACATATCATCATGATCATTTATGCCTTTATTTTATAAGGAATACAATTTAAACCCAATAGCGAACGGAGCAGCTTCATACAAATATTAACAGCCTATGAGAGGTAAATAATAATAATATACAACCCTATTTAATTTGTAAAATTACTCTAAAGCGATTTACAACATATGGATAATAGTAATAGTTATAATTGGGAAACAAAAACAAAGGCTTACAATCACTTTTATACATTTAAGCAAGCAATGTGCACATGATTGAACAAATATGCAGCGACCCCAAAATGCAGACGTGAAGAGGTGATTTTTTTTTAGTTCTATATGATAGATGTAGATGTTTATGTTTTTGAGTCCTTGCCTGCTAATTTCACAGCAAGTTGATTGGTCAAAACTCATTTTTAACTTAAACGCCATAAACTGCATTTTAAACCAAGTGCCGCAGGTGCGTGTGTGGTTTATGCAAACACTGGGACGGCAAATGCACTGACTGCGTCCGGAACTAGTTATAATTACTCCTAAGCCCCACATACGTTTTACCTCAACCGGTCTGAAACTTTCTTTGCTGATTTGAAGGTTTTTTCCGACTTTGTGTATCTAGCGGAGACGATGAAATTAAGCTATGATAAATTTTACTCGAACACAACTTGATTATTTTATTGGCTGTATTTGCATGTAACGGATTATTTTCTTGCTTTGAATTGCGTCCTCTTGATAAGGGAATGTGGGAATTAGCAATGTTTATGTAAGTGCATTTCTATAGTATAAAACATGTTTATTAAGGTATTTTGTATATGTTGAATAACATTTGCCTATCCCGAATGTCAAAAATTAAACTCTAATACACTATAGTGGTTTAATCCACTCCCGTTTAAAGCGTCTTTACAAGTTTGTGATATTTAAGATGTATTTAGGTTTTGCCAGCCTTGATGTGTATTTATAATGAACATTCAAATAATTACAATACAAATCTAGAACAATAAATTGTCTCGACCGGAAATACCCCCTACCACTTCCGCATCCGGCCCGGTGTAATTGTAAGTGGTTAATTGTTTCCTGACCTTGGCATCAATGCACTGCCCAGACTTCATTTTATATTTTCTTAATTTGAATTATCAACGATTTGTTTTGTATTTCAATGAAATGAATCACAAGAAACGCTTGGAAGCATAAAATATAATAATTCTCTTTTATTTCAGGCTTCTGGTTGGTGCTCCTACAGCAGCCACACAGCAGGCTGGTATCATCAGAGGTGGCGCCGTCTACAGGTGTCGAGCCAATCACACGGCCGATAGCTGTTCTATGATTCCATTTGATGAGCGAGGTGAGATTCAAATTGATACTATGTGAACAAATGTTATTTGGTGTTTTACATTTGTATAAGTTTATGCCACAAAAGGTAAATATATATACATTGTACATGTATAAATGAAAGTAATATAAAATCACTCTAGTAAGCAGGTCTCTGACACAGGGACCTGAGAAATTGTTACAGCTTTATGATCATAGGGGGTGGCATTTTTACCGAAAATCGATCTAAACCCCCAAAACGTGTAAAATTACTTTAAACACCTTAGTTTATGTCCAAATATAGCTTTAACAAATTATCAGGTCCCTGTGGTCTCTGGCGCACTGTGACTGACGATCTATCTGCCCACATCTTCTTCTGTCGCGTTTCATTTTCCACGCTTTTCCCGTATGATCAAAATAATGCCACTTGCCACTATGGGTCGTGCCCTGTAGCCCAAGTTATAATATTTCCCAGAGTTCAAATGGAGACCTATGTACAGTTTATTACGAAACGAGAAAGGGCAAGGTCGTAATGGATTCCAACTTCAAGGGTGCCTACCCTCAACACCACCGAGAAGGTTCGACCACACACAAACATGTCTACATAAAAAACGTGACACATTTTAAAACAACTATGGTAATCAAATCAGTATTCATGTTTCATTCATCAAGATCTATCGTAAATGTTACATAAAATTGGATCACATGATCAGATGGGTTTCTGCTGTTCAAATTCATATTGATCAAGTGTTTTCACAATTCCACATCTGATGATGGTTTTTGAAGTACAAATCTCTCAGACTGAAGAGATTTGAGTGTCTAGGTTCTAACTTTATGAAACAATCTACATTAACATACAAATATGATTTTATTCTGAAGATGTACATTTATATTCAACGCTGAAACTGCAATGTAAATAAACTATATATGTTTTATTTAGTTTGAATTTTTGGACTATTAAAATCTGAAATATTTTTGAAATCACAGCCCCAGATTTCTTTGAATAAATGTAATTATGAAATTCAAACATCTTTAACTGGCTATACAGGACCTATGGCATAAACAATTGTATGTCAATTGATGATTCATTATTACAAGGTGACGCTGATTAGTTCTCTCAATGAATCATAAGGAAAATCTCCATATCATTTCATATAATTATAATGATATCATAGATTTTTTTAATGAATCCTGTTCATTTGGTTATAGAATGATGGTCAGTAAAGATTGTTTGTTCCCTTCGCTCAAGACCAGCTATAAATAATCATTCTGTGGCCATAAAAATACGCCTCATTTCCACCGGCATATGGTGGCTCAAAAACTGGTCATGGTTCAGCTCAGCTCCTACAACAAAAAGCAAGCATTGTTGATGAGGCTGGACATGGTCCAGTGACCATGACAACTGCCTGCCTGTCTGTTGTGAAGTGCCCCACAGCTGGTGGGCCAATATTTAAAAAGCATTGTTATAGTGGAAAAGTTACAGGCAGCTGCAAAATATCAAAACGAATACTATGCTTACTAAGACTAAATTCAATGCAATTTCAATACTCCAGCACAAACTTGTTATTTTCATGGCAAAATTTAAAATATAATGGTAAAGAGCAAATTTTAATGCATTTATTAAGTAGCTATTGTTAAAAAGATAACTACAACCAGACATTTGAAATTGTTGCTCCGGTAATGAAATTTGAGTTGGAAGTAATGAAAATTGGCCCATTGTCTGGAACCCTATATCATAGATATATTTGTCTGAGGTCATAGGGGCATAACTTGATCCTCTTGGTCCAATTGCCAGCCAATTTAACTGTGGATTTAAGTGTTGTCTGGGGCAAAGGGGCGTAACTTTACCCTTTTACCCAAATTGCAATACATTTACAAAGTAACATGCCTGCTCTCTCAATTTCTTATTCCAACTCTCAGATTTGCTCTCACAATATCAGAGCTGTTTTTATTTTATTGTAAAATATAATTGCTATAATACATGCCTTTAATTTTGACAGATGGTAATCAATTTGTGCTGTGCTTTACAGGTGCTCATTATAATCATTACAATTATTCCATGAAGATAATACAAACCCAAACAGCAAATCTAACTTGATCATCATATTGAATCTTTTAAAATTGCGTCTGGAATTCTTTTTTCTTGAGACAGATTTGACAAGGAATTCTTGGAAACAAAACTTTTGGTGAATAGAGCATTTTTTATTCCCATATCATTCTCACGGACCTTCAAAAGAAACAAGCTTTTCCCCCAAATTTATAATTACCACAAAATAATAACTTAAAGAGACCTTTTCTGCCTACATGGACCACAGACTATTACTTTGTAACTCAATAACCGTTTTCTCCCCACATCATTCACATGGACCCCGAAACAGTTCTTTGAAACTTACAAACTTTCCTCCAATAATTATCACAAAAAAACTTAAAAGAGTTATTTTCTATATACAATACCTCAAACCGTTACTTTATAACTAATGAACATTTTCTTCACACATTTACCACAAAACAGTACTTACGAGTTTTTTTCTACCCACCTGGAATTAGAACCATTTCTATGTAACTAATGATTTTTTTCTCCCCACGGGTAACTCTAACCAAGTACTTACAAGTTTTTTTCTACCCACCTGGAATTAGAACCATCTCTATGTAACTAATGATTTTTTTCTCCCCACAGGTAACTCTAACCAATTTAACGGAACATTATATTTAGCAATTGAAGATAAATCCCACCAATGGTTTGGTGCAACAGTGGCAAGTTCTGGTGACGATGGACACATCTTGGTAAGTACTGACTGTACTATTGTAAAAGATGTGCATTGATTAGGTTGCCTTACAAGCCTCAGCTGTAGGGAATTTCCCTTTAGCTCAGCGATAGAGCATCGGGCTGACGAGCCAAGGGTCGCGGGTTCTAGCCCCAGCGACGGCCGGATCTTCATAACTTTTCCTTGTCCTATTACAAACTGGTGCCGTTGACCCTCCCCCTTCAAGGAAGCTATGAGAACCGTTGGCGGGGAGTCAAAGAACCTGGGTTGGTGTTTCGAAAAAAGAGGGGGAATAGTGTAAAAGATGTGCATGGATAAGGTTGCCTTACAAGCCCCAGCTGTAGGTAATTTCCCTTTAGCTCAGCGGTACAGCATCAGGCTGGAGAGCCAAGGGTCGCCGGTTCGAGCCCCAGCGACGGCACTATATTTTTCACTAATTCCTCGTCCTACTACACTAGGAGCAGTTTGGCAATTAGTTCATTAAAAATGTTTACTGTATATGTATCTGCTGAAGTTTATTATGCCAAGGTTATGTCGGACAGAAATAAGAGGAGGGGGTGAACCATGAACCCACAGAATGGTAGTTTATTTTAAATGGTGTCAAGGTTGTGTCCTATAGAAACAAGGGGAGATAACTCTGGGGAACTATGAAAAGGTGAATGCTGGCTGTATTGATATCTTTCAGGTGCTGCGAGAAAATTAACAGGGTTCATTGTACTCAAAATTCTGCTGAACTGTAGTTAATATGATATTGGTCTCAAGGTTGTGTCCTAAAGAAACAAATGTAGAGAACTCTATTGAATTATAAAAAGGTTAATGCTGGCTGTATGACATCCTTAACGTGATGTTATAGTGACACTATTATACAACTGATAATAAGGTAGTCTTTTACCTGTTTTACGGGATGTTTGAACGTTGAAAAAAAAAGGAACAGGGATGAAATCTCAGGAAAGAAGATTTATTGGGTATTAAGGTTTAATTTCTATGACATGGGACTGATTTATTCGTGTTGACTAGAGAGATATCGTTTTTATCTGATCTGTGACTAAAATAAGACATTTCCTGGCACTAAAACCTGGTGTTGGTCCAGCTGACAGGAAGTAATGGTGCATGTATAGGTACGGCATGCATACCTCTGCTTTTAGCTAGGACTATAAACAGGTCTCCGCGATCCTAAATATAAACCCACCAGGGCCAAGATTTCTTAGCCTGATAAGCTTAATGCGTCGTTCAGGCAAATTCTAAAAGTATGATTTTTGAAAATTATCTAAAAAATTATAAATATTTTTGCCTGTGTTCTCATTAATTAAATAAAAGTCTTAATGTCTTAATCCTTAGACTTACAACTTTGGTTTTTAAATTTCATCATTTTTGAAAATATACAAGTTTCAAATTTTGTGAAAAGTTGTGGTTAAGCTTATAATGCTTTGAGGTAGTGGACCAAGAATGTTTAAATTTACCTTAGGTTGTTTATAAAAGATATTCTGCTGGAGTCTTGTGCATTCTATTGTAGCATTGCTGTATATATACAGAACTATAGATAATGTTACGTTATGTGTAATATGTATATATGTCTATTTAGATTTTTTATAATTTTACTGAGCCTCTTTCACTGAGAGCAGTGAAACAGGAATGGGATCATAAAACGTGCTAACGTTTACTATCACTCGCTGTCCAACGGCGCCTAACATTTTCTAAAACAATAAAACAGTTTTTCCTTCGACGAGATGAGGCTGGATTGGACCATTTCTGCCAGTTGTTACACGGGCTGAAAGAAACATTGGGGAGCACTTAGGACAGATGTTGTGATGATAATTAATGCTTTGTAGGATATTATAGCAGCATGCTTGTTTGTAGACATCATCAGATATATACGTATACGGTTCTGATATTCCACTTTGATGTCTCCCAAGGGTCGTTTTTAGACCCGAACTGACATTTAGGAGTGTCAATATGACTGGAAATTGGGAAGATGTAGATACAGTACTCGTGATATTTCACTTTGTTGTTCGCAGTTCTTTGTATGTCTTAAAATTTCACCGGTCATAGTTAAAGCACTTTGTTGATCATGATCTATCTGCCATTTTACAGAATTGATTGCCAGTTAAAAAGGTCATACATAGAATACCAGCTAGTTTTGAAAGTAGACTCCGAGTGTGAGTGGTGGAATTTAGGAATACATGGTGTTTCTTACCATTTCTGGATTTGTTTCAGTTTTAAGCCCATCTCGATATAGAAGGTCATACATGTACATGCAAATATAAATTTTAGAAAATATTCATAACAATAATCATTTTGGCTACATTTAACAGGTTATAACCTTAACTTATTCACCCCTGAAGACACATTTGAACTCTTTCAATTCAATGGTTGGAATAGTTCATTATGAAACTTCAGGGGTGAATGAGTTAAGCCCGCCCCAATCATCCTCTCCCAGGGCTTAAGCTTCAAATACGTTTCATTGGTGATGCAATGGTTTTGACGCAGTAACATATTATCTAAATATATTTCATTAAGAAATTATTATTATCATATCTGTATATTGATTGATTGCTTTCATTGCAACTATTGGTTTTCTTCTTCGATAAAGCCCATGCCTGGTAATAAGCCATGGATCCCTGCTATGCCCTTTTACTATGATCATTTCAAAACTATAAAATATTGACTATACATATTTCAATACTTAATAATATGTAGAGAAAATTTTAAGGTTAAGACTTGTATGCTGAAAGCATCAATTTTAGGTTAACCAGAAAATTACAAGTCAAAATTAATCAAATATTAAACAGTCACATTATTGACATTTTGTGATACAATTGTGTTTCGTGTACAGTATTTCGGATTCCTGAATTCAAGGTTACATGTTTTTAGGTCAAGGCAAAAACGTAATGAGATATTCACATATATATAAACTTCCTTACAGTGATTGAAAGTACGCTGGAAATCTCAGCAATTTGTTTTCATGTTTACACGTTGATTTAATTTAACAATTTAGGAGTCGTCAATACCACCGGTAATGCGATTTGAGAGGCTGTTGTGTTGCAATGACATCTCAATTTCCTTTTGATAAAATAGTACCTGCAAGGCAGAGCAAATTGTTGTAATTGTTTAACCATGTTTTCTATAGAGGATATTGATTGATTATCGGGCGATATAGGGCCAACATATGTACAAGTCTGCTCATAAAACTGCTTGTTCAAGTCTAGGTTTATTGCACGGTTGTGTTTCAATTGTGGCTTCCACGAAAAGCTGTCAAAATCCATCACTTGAACAGTTAACCTTCTCCCGACGTTTCGTAAATCAGTAATTTCCTCATCTGTTTTCATCGATTTTGTATCAAAGGAGATGAGTATTTTGTTAGTGATGTTTTATTTTATCAAAATTCAATAGATTTGAAATGAATTTTGAATATTTTTGAAGGAAATTGCAGATCACACATGACAATTTTCTTGGCAAGCTCTGTGAAATCCTTAATGAATGGTTTTCATATGCCAAGGTATAGTAGGGGAACTGAACAAGAGTTCTGATCATCGGGGAAAACTCAAGACAGTCATGAAGAAATCAAATCTTGTTTGCTTTAGTTGCTTCGATGATAGACGCTAGCCAAAATCAAAACCGACAGAAAAGTCATGTAGACATATGTCAAATTAGATTTTCACAAATGTATCACATTTTGTATGTCACATGATCTGTCTTGGTGATGGTGTTTGTGGAGATTCGAAGTGTTCCCAGGTAAATTTCAGGACCCAATAAAATTGTATTGACTTCGTAAAAGGTGGAAAAAGTCAAAAGATTGTTTTTCATTAACTGCATAAAAGGTTGAAAAAGTTACAATTTGTGCCCAAAAAATTGTAATAAAATTCAGCTTATTGAAGCATCAAATGAACTTTCTTTTTATTTTATTAGAGAATGAGGGCTTCAAACTCGTATTAACTTAAGAGTGATCGAGGATGTGGGTTTAACCTTTAAGGTTCCGTGTTCCTCTGTACTGTAGTTTGTTGTATATGTAGAGTAACTTCCCCTTAATTTTGCTTTAGATTTAAGTTTAAAGTTTATTCCAGTATATCATTTGATCAATCCTCTTCACCAACTGTAGTACATTTGGGTATATAAAGACACATCGTTTGCCCCGGTAATTAGACCAATAGTATGACAATCTGAAGTCTATGATTAAAAGTTTGGGAATTAGGTAGAGATAGGAGATTGTTGCGATATTGGGAATGGGATCTTTTATCAGCCCCAAAAAACTCTGCCCTGCCTGACATATTTGCAATTTTTTTCTATGACCACGACCCAGATAATGAAATAGACAATGGTCATGCAAATATTGTTAAGAAAAAACAATCTTAAAAAGTGAATAATATCACTGTAATTCATGGTAATTTAATTGAGCAAATTCAGCTTGAGCTAATAATTTATATTTTCATTCCTAGATTACCTCCCTTTGGGGAAAAATATTGGAATCCAAGGCCCTATACATGTTCTATATATTCAGGAAAGGAAGATTTTCGTTTGACCAGATATGTTATGTTTTGACCTTAAATATGTAGCCCATGCCTGGTAATAAGCCCACCCACATCTATTGCAGTTCAATAAAAGTGTTATCAAATGTGAGTGTTTGACATTCTGCTAACACTATAGCCTTCCACCACTGGGTCCCTTCAGGTTCGAGACCTACCTGGAGCAGTCTCCAGGTCCTTGCCGTTGGTCAGTGGTTTTTTGTCCGGGAACTCCGGCTTTCCTCAACCACTACAACCTGGCACGTCCTTAAATGACCATAACTGTTCACAGTTAAGATGTAAAACATGAACAAACCAAACCAAACCAAATTCATCAAATGCTATTTTATTGCCTGTAATACATTCACCTGTTCTTTGAGGCCAAGATGATGTGTTAATTAGCTCCCTGGGCTTAACTGTAGTAAGATTAATAGATATGGTGTCTATGTATTTTCAAAGCATTTGGTCAGGCCAGGAACTTGTGTAAGGTATGTTGTTGTTCGATCTGACCAGAGGTTTA